TAATATTTCAAATGCATAGGTCGGCAGCGGCTTTTTTCTAGTGATTTTCATTTTACATGTTGTTGCCCTTTGGAGCCCTAAGAGCTACATAAATCGAGCTATCCATACTCTCTCTATAAAGGTACTCTATGATGAAGTGCCTTTTTTAAAACAAATATTGTAATTTTTATGGGATGCAGGAGATGAATTGCTCTCACTATGCTCACGCGGGAAAAACAACTTAGCGCTGAGCTTTAACACTTTAGGTAAAATAGCGCCAACTACCGACTGTAGGGCTGGACCCTAAAACCGTAGGGGAAGGCTCAGCCCTACTGCCTTTGATACACACTTTTACCTCAAGTGTTTGGGCTCAGCGCTAAGTTGTTCTTCAGGAAGTAGTGCTTTCCAAGTCCCTTCCTCTTTTCTTGTTGTAGTCATAACGTTACGTTGGTATAGTATCAAATTGCTCCCTGTTTCTTCTTCTGCTCCATCTTTTCCTTTTTCTTCTCTCTCCTATCCTCCTCCTTCTGCCTTCTCTTTCTCCTTTTCCTTCGTCTTCTCCTTTCCTTTCTCCTTCTCCCTCGCCTTCTCCCGCCTCTCCTCCTTCTCATTCTCTTTTTCTCCTTTTCCTTCTCCTCCTCCTCCTCCTCCTCCTTCTGGTTCTCCTTCTAGTTCTCCTTCTGGTCCACCTTCTGGTTCTCCTTCTAGTTCTCCTTCTGGTTCTCCCTCTGGTTCTTTTTCTGGGTCTCCTTCTGGTCCTCCCTCTGTTTCTCCTTCTCCTCCTTCTCCTCCTCCTCCTCATCCTTCTTCTTAATATCCTCCCCCTCCTTCTTCTCTTCCTCCTCCTCTTTCTGCTTCTTCTTCTCCTCCTTCCTCTTCTGCTTATTCTTATTCTTCTTCTTCTTCTTCTTCTTCTTCCTTTTCTTCCTCTTATTCTTCTGCTTCTTTAGGCAAAAGCCCTCCTTGTCCAACCATCACCCCACTAGGTACGCATAAGTAGTTCGGTACAGATAGATCAGTCCGGCTAGCCATGTTTTATTTTTACCAGAATCGAGATAATTGTATTGTCACTCCAAAAGTAACATTGTGTGTATCTACGACTAGAGAAGTAGGAGGAACCTGGAATCCTGGAGCTTTCTAGGAGTAACAATGATTTTTTCCTTGATTCCTGATCTCCTTTGTACTTTGTTGCATAACAAATAAATAAATCTCCCTCATATTGAAAAAGTTTTGCCTTTTGATTTCATTGATACCATAACACATTTTATTTATCTTGATATATCTCCCTTTATTGACTGATCACAGTTCCCCAGCCTGTGACTTTATTCAGATAATATATTTATTTTTCTCCGTTTTTCCATCTAATTTTCACCGTTGTCGTTCATTTGGTTCCCTTGAGCGTTTATTTGGAAATCAGCTCACTTTAGATTTGCAATTTATACTAAAAAGCTTGGTTTTCTAGCACTAATTGCAGATGATCTCATTTGTGTTAGGAAATTCAAATCATCAACGCACGGGGAAGAAATCGATGTGAATAAAATTAGTAATTGAATACAATCTTATTTTTCGACAAATAAAATTGTTATACACCGAACACAGTAATACACCGAATCTCATGAAAAACGTCTCTCTCTCTCTCTCTCCCCCTCCCTCTCTCCACCTCTCTCTCTCTCGCGTTCATAATTTGATACACGCTCAACTCATTAATGACTTTAGAAAAATCGAAACCTCAGTTAAAAGTGGGTTTTCGGGGAACCGCAAAACACCACATTTTTATGTCAGAAAATCAACTTATCGTCCTTTCTAAGTCCGAAACCCCCTACCCTCAAACCCCTCTTTTAACTAAGATTCCATCAGTAGTAATGCCTTTAACGAATTTAGCGTATCAAATTTCGGGTGCCTACCAATTTTGATGAGATTCGGTGCTTTATTACCATCGCCCATAAAGTAGGAAAGGCGATTTCTCTCCCAGAACTTAGGGGAAGGACTGGAGTCCCCTTAAAAAGTTCTTTTAGAAAAACATTAATGAATGAATAAGTCTTATATTGACCTATAGAACGCAATCCTGGAGTCTGACCGTTCAACCCTGGACCACCCTGTATAGATGGATGCAGTCTAATGTTGACCTATATCACGTCGTGCACGACGTCATGTCCAGGCAGTTGCTATAGGGACATGTGCAAAGAATGTCGGAGAATGGGTAGCCCAAACAAGTTTTGGATTGGGTACCACCTGAGAAAAGGCGACGGGGACATCCCATGAAGGGATTGCGGCGGGGCGTTGACGAAGAGATGTTGCGTTATCAGTTGCCAGATAACCAGTGGCGCATGCAGGATAAGGTTCTGGGGGGTATGGAATACACCCCAGGTGCAGTGGGGGGTCCGGAAGGCCTCTCCCGGAAAATTTTCAGGATTTCAACCGCGTAAAACGCCACTTTCTAACAATTTCAGTCATGAAAAATGATCAAAAGCTCTCCACTATATTCCCCCGAAAAGACCTTAAAAAAATGGAAAACCGTTTACACAAGACCAAATGGAATGTTTTGTTTCAAGTATGCGATGGGAAAAACCCACTAACTTCCTGAAGAAAAAACGAGATAGATAGACTCTCCAACTCTTTACATTCAAAAATGTTGATCAAATTATTCTGGTGCCAAAGTAAATTCTCTCAATTCTTTCTTAAAATGAAATGATTCTTGCCCGATTTTTCTTCTTTTCCCTTGATTTCTCTTATTTGGATTGCATTTTGCAAAAAGGAACCAAGAGCATTCCAATTTTGCTAAAATCGTGCAAATTTTTTTTTTTACCTTGCACATATAAAATGGACTGCATTTTGCAATTTGGAACTATAAATTATGGCTTCACTGGAAAAACACTTATGTACATAGGGAAACTAATGGCACATACTTTGTTTTTAAACCAGGCTAGAACTTTTAGTTCCAAATTGCAAAATGTAGTCCAAATGATCTTCTAAACAAATTTTATCTTTCCCCCCAATGAATTATAACTTCAAGACGAAAACTACCTTTGTACATTCAATTATTTTCATGATTTCATTAATTTTGTGCAAAGGTTGTTAGTTGCACAATCCTAGCGACATTAAAATGCTCTTGGTTCCTTTTTGCAAAATGCAATCAATTTTTTTCTCTCTTTTTTGGGGGCGGTCCCAACCCCTGCCCCCCCCCCCCCCCCCCCCCCCCCCCCCCCCCCCCCCCCCCCCCCCCCCCCCCCCCCCCCCCCCCCCCCCCCCCCCCCCCCCCCCCCCCCCCCCCCCCC